TCTTAACCACGGCTTGTGTACTGCATCATTACTGTGTCTGTTCCCCTTTCGGGCTTGAACTGATGGTAAAACGTCATCTATTCAAACGTCACTTCCTGTTTGTTGCTGCTGTGTGTTTTGAGTTTGCGCTCCGTCAAGTTAATTCTTTGTCATCTAATTTTTTATCTTAAAATCAATTTTATCCACCGTCATTAGCAGATCCATGAAAAACTTGCCCGTAAGTGCAGGAAAAAGTCTTGGAAGCTGAATGTAAAAAGCCCCATGGGAATCTCATCCTTATCTATCGATTTCCACGAATGGAACAGTTTGTATTTCAAAACATGGACTTGAACCAGTGCCATAACATGTTAAGCTCCATGCCATGATTCAGGTGAAATATGCTCCATGCAAGTCGGTCATTGTGAAAAAACTAGATGCATTGTTATATTGTTTCAGTACAAACATCCTGGGAGTTGGCCTACTATTTATCCAAGCCACTGCACAGACAAAACTCACTCTGAATGACTTTTGTCGCTTAATACAGCACTTCCCGGAAGCGCAATACAAAACATTATACAAGAGCCAGACATCAAGAGAGCGCGTAACTCTTCACAGAAAAAACATCTGAAAGAAATATGAGTGCATAAACTAACAGAAGCCTCTCCATCAGACTGTGTCTATAACACACAAACTATAATTTTCTCTAAGGCCTGTTATCAGATGAATGAACCTGTTTCAGAGCAATGCACAGCAATTAAATGCAAAGTGACACCTTTAACCAGAGCCATGTGTGTAATGTAAAACCTCCTCATGCTGTAATCATAAACACAGTGAATGCTCCTGTCTGACAGGGCGGTCAAGTTTAGCTGCTCTACAGAAGTCATATTAAAGATGATACTTCCCCATGGAAACTGACATGACAACTGTTTTGGGATCATTGAGCTGCATTTATAGGGTGTGTGTGAGAATGAGAGTGTATAAGTGTGTGTCATACATAAATTGTCTTTCAAAAAAAAAAAAACATCACAATAAAATATTATGATTAATTTAATAAATAATAACACTTATTATTATTATAGCCAATCAATACAATCACCAGACATGAAATATCTTTTAAAAAGACGTTTGCCATCTTAAAGAACACAATTCTAAAGCAAAATCCACACGTGTGTGTGTGTGTGTGTGTGTGTGTGTGTGTGTGTGTAAATGATAAACGTGCGTTAATGTCGGTCCGCATCATATGACCAGCAATATCTGATTCTCACCTGCTCTCGCGCTGGAAATGATGCTCAACTCGTCGCTGTTTCGCTCATATAATGAGATTTATATTAACGCAACATCATCACCATCATCATCATGAGAGCGTCCACGTCGCGGAAAGAAAGAACCGTGTGGAAACGCCTTAGTGACATGCAGCGGAGTATTGTTGTAGGAAACAACGCGTCGGAAATCATTACTGGACAAACGAGCTGTCAGTCACTGTTTTGCGTGCAAGCGATTGGACAACAGACCGATAGATACGCCCCACTTAAGTGTGTGACGCGAATACTAGGGCCCGCCCCTTCTGAGGATAGTCGTGAATGAAATGGAGAGGGGGCGGGTCTCTCTCTGTTCTCAAGTAGGCTATGCAGGAATTTGCAAAGAAAAATACTACTGTTTTGTCAAATTATTTGCAGAAATAAAATAAAAAAATAAAATAACATAAAATAAAATAAATAAAATATTTGTATATATAATTGTGCACGAGTAAATTAAAAAGAAACAGCAAAAAAATAAAAAAAATAAAAAATCATCACCACAACAAAAACACACAGTAATTATAAATTATATGTCCAAGGGGTCAAGGGAGGCAGTGCCTCTTGTAAAAAATAAAAATAAAAAAATTAATTCATTAAATAAATAAATAATAATAATATTAATAATAATAATAATAAAACCAAGGAAATAAATCAACAAGTTGTCACAAAAGGTGTTCAGTGTTTCCTTTATTCTGGGCAACAGCAATGAAAATTTTTTTGTTTTTTTTTGTGCTCTACAGTTTGTGTGTATCTAGAAATTAATATTAGAAATATTCACTTGAGTGAAAAATAATTAGTTCCCTACGTCTACAGTATAAATACTGGGCATGTAAGTAATAAAAATAAAAATGCTTAAAATATAAACTTTTGAATGACTGACTTTTGAACTTTATTGCACTTCAGTTTATTTTGTGTCATTAGATCAACAGCATGACTCCTTTATTTGAATTTTAAACAGGGGAAACACAATGAGCAACACCATCAAATCTTGATATGCATTTCTTTTTTAAATATTTTTGTAGCAGAAACGCACCAGAGATGTTTTGTTCTCGTTATTCTCTGAGCACTGGTCAGACTGGCTCTGCTGGTCTGTACTCACCGGTGCTGTTGCTGTAGGTGCGTACGGTCGTTGTGGTCGTGGGCGGCGGTGAATCAGAGTCCATCGAGGCCGTGTCGTCGTCTTGAGAACAGCCGGCCTGAATGGCGCGAAGGTAACTATGGCTGCGGGAGCGGAAGCATGTGGGCATGGGCATGTCAGGAGGCTCGCTGCAGCGGGAGTGAGGATGCATGTCCTCCAGCTCGTCTCCATAATCCTGACTCAGCTCCATGTCTCGCACCTGCTGACACAGCGACGGCTGATGTGGGCTGGCATGATTGAGAAAGAACAGTGACGGGTGCATGGCTGCGTTCAGAATGACATTACTGAATACTGCGCACTATGCATTATATACACACTGGCTGCCAAAAGTTCGGAATAATTAAGATTTTCAAAAGTTTTTGAAAGTCTTAAAGCTGCATTTATTTGATCAAAAGCACAGTAAAAATGTGAACTATTATTACAATTTCAAGTAACCATTTTCTATGTGAATATCTGTTCAAATGTAATTTATTTCTGTGATCAAAGCTGAATTTTCAGCATCATTACTCCAGAAGGAAGACAGCTGAGGACAGGAAGGGGACAGGGGTCACAGAGAGAAGAGAAGAGGCCGGAGATGAGAGAAAGGCCACAAGCAGCTCAAGCAGCTCTATAGGCTACTGCAGGGGTTTTCAAACTGGGGCCCGGGGACCCCCAGGGGCCACAAGGGAGTGAAAATGGGTCAGTGAAAATGTTTATGGTAAAAAAAAGTGTAAAAATTAATAAACAGAAGTAAATGGAATAAAAGATAAACAAAATAAATGAAACACAAATGCAAGATAAAAAAAATACATGAATAAAATAAGATGAAAATAAATAAATAAAATTAGTTTTAATGAATTAATGAAATTAATAAAATACAGATTAAATTAATAATATAAACATTTTTAAACAATTTAGGGAAAATTTTAAATAAAATTACAAATATTAAATAAAAAAAGAAATCAATAAAAGAGAAAACAGTGTAAATATAATATAATATATTTTAAATATAAACATAAAAATATAAATACAAGATTTAAAAAAATAAAAATAAGATGTAAATAAACAAATAAATAAAATCAGTTTTAAATAAACAAATAAACAAAAAAAAAATAGGATAAAATAAAAATAAATATTAGATTTAATGAAATAAACAGAAATTAAATTAAAATAAATAAATGAATAAATAATACATCTAACAGTACAGTACTATAATCAGTAGGAAAAAAAATATTATGATATTTTTCACAGTATAAATTGGGTCTTCATATAAAAAACTCTATGCCTTTTTCATATTGATCATATTTGGGGGGTCCGTGGCATCTACAAGATTGAAAACCCCTGGTCTACTGCACATAAAGCAAATGGAAATGGTAAAGCTGCAACAAAACTAGTGAAGAAACATTTACTTATTAGCAAATGTATTATCTTTCCAGTTTTTTGTGCAGAAATGAAAATCCATCCATCATCATAACTGATTTGTGTCATTAGTCTGGAGAACACAGGAGATCTGAAAATTGCTGCTCTAAAATGAAAAACACAATCTCCTCAAACAGTTTGACTATCCAATCAGACTGAAGCAGCACAGCTAACAACCAATCAGCAAAGTACCGTTTCCATTCAGCGTCCAATCAGAGCTCTTATAGCAGTTAGGGTGAGCATTACAAGCGCTGAGGAGGCTTTCTCTCTCTCCAATCACAATCCACTTGTCTGCAATGATGAAATGCAAGCAAAACCCAAACATCAGATCTGTGCTGTATGGAGAAAACCACCTCAGACTAAACATCTCAGAGTAGGAGAACTGTTTCAGGGCCAATAAAAACAGATTTTCAATCAGCACTCCTAATTTGAGAGGAGTTGAGGAAAGCAGCGCAGGTGCGACGTCTCCTTTGTGCGGTCAGTGAGGAGCTGCGGTCGGTCGGACAGATTTCTCCTCACTGCACTGACCTGACAGAGCGTCCGATCTGCTGCAGGGTGCTGATGCTGTGGAGGGGGGACCAGAGAGCCTCCAGATCCCCCTGCAGCATCGAGTAGTCCAGCAGACGGCTGGAGAGAAGGCAGGGTTACAGGTGAGACAGGGAGGAGCTTACAGTGCAGAAAGAGGGAGGTGCTTAAAACAGAGGAGGCGGGGCTTCAAACCAAGACGTTCAAGTCATTAAAGAAGGGAAACTTATAAATGTCGAAGAACACACACCAGCGAGAGAAAAACGCTATGTTCAGAACAGCATACTAACATACTGCTTTTACTATTTCAGCACAAGTATACTGTGCACAAAATGCAAATGTTCTGAAGCAGCAGTGATTTTTTAAAATAAAAACCGATTTTCAATCAGCACTCCTAATTTGAGAGGAGTTGAGGAAAGCAGCGCAGGTGCGATGTCTCCTTTGTGCGGTCAGTGAGGAGCTGCAGTCGGTCGGACAGATTTCTCCTCACTGCACTGACCTGACAGAGCGTCCGATCTGCTGCAGGGTGCTGATGCTGTGGAGGGGGGACCAGAGAGCCTCCAGATCCCCCTGCAGCATCGAGTAGTCCAGCAGACGGCTGGAGAGAAGGCAGGGTTACAGGTGAGACAGGGAGGAGCTTACAGTGCAGAAAGAGGGAGGTGCTTAAAACAGAGGAGGCGGGGCTTCAAACCAAGACGTTCAAGTCATTAAAGAAGGGAAACTTATAAATGTCGAAGAACACACACCAGCGAGAGAAAAACGCTATGTTCAGAACAGCATACTAACATACTGCTTTTACTATTTCAGCACAAGTATACTGTGCACAAAATGCAAATGTTCTGAAGCAGCAGTGATTTTTTAAAAATCTCTTTTTTGAATCACACAAAAATTAATTACATGCTACTCACATGTACCATCATGTGACAACAATATTCTTAGTGTGTTTAATTTTTTTTTTAAGTTTAATAAAAAAATTCAATGTTTCAATTTCTATTAATAAAAATATTAATCAGAAAATAGTGTATACTGCACTGTATTCAGTAAGCAATAAGCGAGTATACCATTGTGAACATAGTCTAAACTATCAGGGTTAGGAGAGGAAAGTGTTAGGATCAATCTGAAGAAAACATGTCCATGCCATATTTCTTCACAAAACCAAAAGAATAATATATGAAACTGCACAAAAAAAATCAGGCCTATTTGTAGGGTGGTTTAGTGTTTTATTATTGTTAAAGAAACATTGTTAGAAATATGGACTTGGCAACTAACTTAAATGAATAAGTTTAAGTACTAAAATGACTAAAACTGAAAAAATGAATGATGAAAATAAATGATGAAAAATGACACATAAAGCACATAAAATAATTAAAACCTACACTATTATTAAAATGAAAACGGAAAATGCATATATAAATAATGTAGTAGTAAATATTTAGTTTTACTAAAATAATACTGCACTGTAATAAAGTAATGAGATTCATTCTGACCAGACACAATCATTTTATTTAAATCAGCATAAAAGGCAGCACAACAAATGTAACACATACTTTGCCATTTTTACTAAACACCATTACTGTTTGAATGAGACTTCACTGATGACGTCAGATTTGATTTAGAAGCACATTTAAAAGTACAACAAATTGGATGCAAAAACAACTTTTTTGTGTGTTTTTGCAATTATATAACACAATCTGATCTGTACTAGATACCTGTTGAAAAAAATCACAATTGATTGATAATACAAATGCACATTTCATGTCCACAAACTGGGCAAAATAGCAACTGTTCAAGAGTATAAGATGTGTTTTCTTTACACGTGAGCAGCAGAAAGCTGGTGCGAGGCTCAGCATATGCAGGGGAGAAAGACCAGCTGTGCTTAATCTAGCAGACGAACAAGCACAGCTGGATTCTGATGCATGTATGAGAGGGAATCAACACCGATAAACTCATCCTGATCCAGAAGGCATGACATAATAGAGCTCACACCTCAGACGGGGTCTCTGGTGTCGTGACAGACCACCAGTGTGTGTTTCTGTGTTTGTACCCTAATGTATCTCCAGCCTTCTGCACAGAAACGGGTCACTGCGGTTGTGCATATAGAGCTTTGTTTTAAAGTGCCTCTATTATGCCATTTTTAAGGTTGCTAATATTGTTTTATGAGTTTCCTAAAACAGATTTACATGCATGTAAGTTAGTTTTCTAAAAAAATAGATTTAATTTTACCTCATTTCTAAATGATTGGAGAGATTGGCTCTGGATTGGTCTACCACGTACAGTGCGTGTCGGAAACGAAGCGTCCATTGCCATGACGGAATGACAGCCCAGAGACTTGTCAATACATAGAAAAGATGCTATCGATTGTACCTTACCAATTCGAGCCGGAGTCTGATGATGAAACGGTTGAACTAGCTGATCGACAAGAGACTGATTCGCAAGCACGACTGGAGCAGGACGTTTCTCAGTGGTAAGTGTCAAGTGTTAACAAGTTTGTGGTAATTATAAGGAACATTATGAAATGAAATAATGTTTTGGAGGCTGTTTTCAGATCTGTCAGGTGTTCTAACAATGTTGGCCATCACTGTAAAGTTCTATTTGAAAGCAACACAGACACTGTTTTTTTCATGTTCATTACTGTAAAGCTGCTTTCTTTAAGTCAAACTATTGTATAAAGTGCTATATAAATAAACATGATGTGACTTTACTGGAGTGCCGAATTGCAGAGCTCGTGCAAACACCCACAACACTATGACCATGATGCTTTCTTAACTGCTGTTTTCTCACCGCTGTCATTTCTCTTGTGTTTATTTTGTTATTGAGAGTAAAGTGCAAAACACATATTTACATATTTATCTTAACCCATGGGTGGAGTGGCGCTTTTGAGTAAACTTCTTTTTACTCATGAGCGAAGAATGAAAAAGAACTGTGCTGTGAGTATATCAAGGTCTTAAGAGTTCGTCTTAAAACTGCAGTATGCTTTAAAGCCAAAGTATCCTTTGGTTTTTACGCGTATGTGAAGGTCTGCGTACAGTGCGTGTGATTCAAATTTCATCAACAGTATAGTACGTGCATACTGTACATGCACCATCCGGTTTTTGTAACCACGCGCACTTTGTACATGCAGGTCATGTATGAATTGATTTTGCACTAATCGGTTGTTCCAAAAGATGGCAACACTGGCCCGGGCCCTTGTTTCAGACTAGTAAAAAACTAAACTAAAGAGACAGAACAACAACAAAATGTGACCCTGGACCACAAAACCAGTCATAAGGGTCAATTTTTCGAAATTGAGAGTTATACATCATCTGAAAGCTGAATTAATATTTCCATTGATGTAAGGTTTGTTAGGATAGGACAATATTTGACTGAGATACAACTATTTGAAAATCTGGAATCTGAGCGTGCAAAAAAAATTAAAATACTGATAAAATCGCCTTTAAAGTTGTCCAAATGAAGTCCTTAGCAATGCATATTACTAATCAAAAATTAATTTTGACCCATGCAATGTATTGTTGGCTATTGCTTATACCCGTGCTACTTATGACGAGTTTTGTGGTCCAGGGTCACAAATAGCCGAGACTGCAACAAGAGTCGCAACTTTGGTTTAAAAGTCTACAAAGACATTTTTATCGGTCAGAAGACAAAATAGCACAGACACAAAGACGAAGCTTTCTAGAGTGCATGTGTAGGTCGCCTGCATACGTATACACCTCAAATGGACCATACTTGTGCACTGAGGTGTGCTTCCACCACAGCAATACAGTACACAATAACCAAGTTTTATTCATGCACTCACCCTCCCGTGCACCTGCAGGACGTGGCAGCCCAGATCCTGCTGGACAGATTTAGACTTCAGCAGGGTGCGATCCAGCGTGGCCGAGCCCTTCTGGCACACCTGTCTGGAGGGTCCTAACGTAAGTGTGGACCAGGGTCCCCCTTTACCAAAGTTCCCATCAAACATCGGTCCTCGGCTTCCTACGACCCCCCCACCACCACCACCACCGCCAGGTCCCGGGAGTGCAGGGAGCCCCTGGTGTTTCAGGTCACTGTTACTCTTTGAGGATTTGAGCGTGTGCTCGCTCATTGTGCTGTAGCCCTGCATGAAGTACCTGGATGCCACCTGTCCACCTGGCCCCGGTCCAGATCCCACCGCTTGATGACCCAAAGTCATCATGGCCTTTGGGTTCCTATAGTTACTTATATCACTGTCCAAATCGTCAGAACTCCAGTATCCAGACATATTGGATCGTGGCCTCCGTTTGGCAGTTCCTTCGCTCTTCGCCCGGTCTTTGCTTTTGCTCCGATGGTGTTTGTCATCGCTGCTCGACGATCTGCTGTTGCGGCCGTTCATGTTTCCCTTGATGGCAGAGTTTTCCAGCGACTGGGATTTAGCGAACAGTTTCTGGACGGAGTGAACTAAGTAGCGTATTTTTCCCGGACTGTCAGTCCGCTGCTGTTGCTGCTGTTTGGTCGTCGTCACCGCAGTGCTTCGATGGAACTGTAACGTGCTGAAGCCGTCCTGTTGACCTGGCAGCTGTTTCTCGAACTGGTCTAGGAGGTTAGGCGGCAACCGGTTCATCTTTCCTGCCCCTAAATGCGAAAAGAGCAGGAGGGTCAAACAGCAAAGATTCAGAATGCATGAAGCAATGTCATAATTCAGTTAAAATCATAATTAATTTATCCAGTTGCTATTTAGCCTTTAAAGAATAAATGTAGCAGTATACAGAGCTGTATTTCAAGAAAATGCACATCATTTGTGACCCTGGACCACAAAACCAGTCATAAGGGTCAATTTTTCGAAATTGAGATTTATACATCATCTGAAGGCTGAATAAATAAGCTTTCCATTGATGTATGGTTTGTTAGGACAGGATAATATTTGGCTGAGATACAACTATTTGAAAATCTGGAATCTGAGGGTGCAAAAAAATCTAAATATTGAGAAAATCGCTTTTAAAGTTGTCCAAATTAAGTCCTTAGCAACTCATACTACTAATCAAACATTAAGTTTTGATATATTTACAGTAGGAAATATACAAAATATCTTCATGGAACATGATCTTTACTTAATATCCTAATGATTTTTGGCACAAAAGAAAAATCGATAATTTTGACCCATACAATGTATTGTTAGCTATTGCTACAAATATACCTGTGCTACTGATGACGGGTTTTGTGCTCCAGGGTCACATTTATGCTGCATTTTAAGAAACATAAAAAAGTCTTAAGTGAGACAATAAATAATAACCAGAAAATAAAATAACAAGAATATACAGTACATTCTGAAGGTCAAATGACTCTTTTTTTTTTCACACATCTCTGAGGTTTACTGGCCTTGAATCCATTGCTATGTTTGCTTCATCACTAATTGGGGCGGTTGTGGCCTAATGGTTAGAGAGTCGGACTTGTAACCCCAAGGTTGCACGTTTGAGTCTCAGGTCCGGCAGGGATTGTAGGTGGGGTGAGTGAATAACTCCCAGCGTGTGGGTGTGTGTGTGTGTTCACTACTCACTGCTGTGTGTGTGCACTTGGATGGGT